GGGCCCTTTGATTGACAAGAGCTCCGTGGTGAGATCCCAGATGGCGGAGAGTGGTCGATCCGTCATTGCCGCACGTGGCCAGCAGGTTGTGGAGGAGCTGATGAAACTTCTGGAAACTACTTTGGAAACATCCGACAAGGGGAGTGAGACTTCTGACCTTCTCAATGAGGCTGTGGTTGTTCTGTACGGATCCTTGGCTCAACACCTTAAAGCAGACGACCCTCGTCTACAGACTGTCCTTAAGAAACTTCTGGGCACTCTGCCGACGCCTTCGGAAAGCGTGCAGTCTGCAGTTTCTGGTTGCTTGCCACCCCTCATCCGACTTTGTGGCCCTCAGCAGAGCGGACGGTATGTCAAGGACATGCTGGATCAACTTTTACAGTCTAAGAAGTATGCTACTCAACGTGGTGCAGCCTATGGTCTCGCTGGTATTGTCAGTGGCCGGGGTATCTCCACACTGCGCGAATTCCAGGTCATGGCTCATCTTCAAGATGCTTCGGAGAACAGAAAGGAGCCGCATCAGAGACAGGGTGCTTTACTGGCATATGAGTTGTTTGCGACCATTCTTGGTCGAACATTCGAGCCATATGTTATTCGAATTGTCCCGCAACTCCTCGCTAGCTTCGGAGATGTAAACGCCGACGTCCGTGATGCCTGCCTCGATGCGGCCAAGGCCTGCTTCTCGAACCTCAGCTCGTATGGTGTCAAGCAGATTCTCCCGACTCTTCTTGATGGTCTCGATGACACGCAATGGCGCAGTCAGAAGGGAGCTTGTGATCTTCTGGGTGCTATGGCTTATTTGGATCCCCAGCAGCTGGCGGCCAGTCTGCCTGACATTATCCCTCCGCTAACAGTTGTCTTGAATGACACGCATAAGGAGGTGCGTAATGCAGCCAACCGCAGCTTGCAGCGCTTCGGTGAAGTTATCAGCAACCCCGAAGTCAAGAGCCTAGTCAACGTACTCCTCAAGGCGCTGAGTGACCCCACTAAATACACTGACGAAGCTCTCGACTCGCTTATCAAGGTGTCTTTCGTTCACTATCTGGATGCTCCTTCCTTGGCTCTCGTCGTTCGTATCCTTGAGCGAGGTCTCGGCGACAGGTCAAACACGAAACGCAAATCGGCGCAGATTATTGGCAGTTTGGCTCATCTTACGGAGCGCAAAGACCTCATCTCTCACCTACCGATCATCGTTTCCGGTCTGCAGCTGGCTATTGTTGATCCTGTGCCCACTACCCGTGCTACTGCTTCCAAAGCCCTTGGATCGCTCATTGAAAAGCTTGGAGAAGATGCTCTTCCCGATCTCATTCCCAATCTCATGGCTACGCTCAAATCGGATACCGGCGCTGGTGATAGACTGGGATCCGCTCAAGCTCTTTCGGAGGTGCTCGCAGGCTTGGGTACTACCAGACTGGAGGAGACGCTGCCTACCATTTTGCAGAATGTCAGCAGCTCGAAGCCATCTGTTCGCGAAGGCTTTATGACCCTCTTCATCTTCCTTCCCGCTTGCTTTGGAAACAGCTTCGCTTCCTATCTTAGCAGAATCATCCCCCCAATTCTTTCTGGATTGGCTGACGACGTTGAATCTATTCGTGAGGTGTCGCTCAAGGCTGGTCGCTTGTTGGTCAAGAACTTCTCCTCCAAGGCCATTGACCTGCTTCTTCCGGAGCTTGAACGCGGCCTTGCGGACGATAGCTACCGTATCAGATTGAGTTCCGTTGAGCTGGTTGGTGACCTTCTGTTCAGTATCACTGGTATCACGGCCAGGGCCGATGCAGAAGAGGAAGAGGAAGAGGCCGCTCAAGCTGGACAGTCGCTTCTCGAAGTTCTTGGAGAGGAGAGAAGGAACAAAGTCTTGTCTGCGCTCTTCATCTGCCGCTGCGATACTTCCGGTCTTGTCAAGAGCGCCGCTATGGGTGTCTGGAAGTCACTTGTCGCTTCGCCCAAGACCCTCAAGGACATGGTGCCCACTCTATCTCAGCTCATCATCCGCCGCCTTGGCTCTTCTAACATGGAGCACAAAGTCATTGCTAGCAACGCTTTGGGAGACCTTATCAAGAAGGCAGGAGAGTCTGTTCTCGCGACTTTGCTTCCTACCCTTGAGGACGGTCTTCAGTCATCTCCCGATGTGGATGTCAGACAGGGTATCTGCATTGCTTTGAGAGAGCTCATCACCTCTGCTTCCCCTGAGGCTCTCGAGGATTACGAGAAGATTCTCATCTCGACTGTCCGGGTGGCCTTGGTTGATAATGATGAGGACGTGCGTGAGGCTGCCGCCGAAGCATTCGACGCTTTGCAACAAATCCTTGGCAAGAGAGCCGTCGATCAGGTCCTTCCTCATCTCTTGCTTCTCTTGAGGAACAGCGACGAGGCAGAGCAGGCACTATCAGCCCTCCTGACACTACTCACTGAGCAGACGCGGGCAAACATTATCCTGCCGAACCTCATCCCTACTCTTCTCACCTCTCCGATTTCAGCATTCAATGCCCGGGCTCTCGCCTCCCTCGCCGAAGTGGCAAGCAGCGCTATGACACGTAGACTGCCTACGATTCTCAACTCCCTGATGGATAACATCGTGTCAACGACCGACGAGGAGCTCCGGCAAGAGCTCAGCAGTGCTTTCGATACCATATTGGTGTCTGTTGACGAGAATGACGGTCTCAATGTGATGGTGAATGCCATGATGACTCTTCTGAAGCACGATGACCACGTCCGTCGCGCTACTGCTGCGGTTCATCTCAAGAACTTCTTCGCAAATGCCGAAATCGACTATTCTAGATACCATCAAGACTTGATCCGGGTCTTGCTCATTTCTTTCGATGACGGCGACAAGGATGTTGTGAAGGCCGCATGGGCAGCACAGAGCGAGCTTACATCTCATTTGCGCAAGGAAGAGATGGAGGTTCTTACGATCCCCACGCGACAGGCGTTGCGTTCTGTGGGCGTTCCTGGCGCCAACCTTCCAGGCTTCAGCCTCCCCAAGGGTATTACTGCCGTTCTGCCGATCTTCTTGCAAGGTCTCTTGAACGGAAGCGTCGAGCAGCGTACTCAAGCCGCTCTTGCCATCAGCGATATCATCGATCGCACTGGTGCGGATTCTCTGAAGATGTTCGTCACGCAAATCACGGGTCCTCTTATCCGTGTCGTGTCTGAGCGGTCGGTGGATATCAAATGTAAGTCCTTCTCTTCACTCCTACGATACTGTTGTTTTCGGTCCTTTAACTTACGATTAACTGCAGGTGCCATCTTCTTCACGCTTAACAAACTCTTGGAGAAGATCCCGTTGGCTGTCAAGCCATTCTTGCCCCAACTTCAACGGACGTTCGCCCGTGGTCTGGCGGACTCTACTAGCGAGACTCTGCGCAACAGGGCCGCCAAGGGTCTTGGAATCTTGATCACTTTGACCCCCAGGGTCGACCCTTTGATTGCGGAACTTGTTACTGGAACCAAGACCCCTGACGTTGGAGTGAGAAATGCAATGATGAAGGCACTTCAAGAGGTTGTCGGCAAGGCCGGCGCCAACATGAGTGAGGCTTCGAAGAATGCTATTCTTGGCCTGATCGATGACGAAGCCAGCGATCAGACTGACGCTGTGGCTATCACCAATGCCAAGCTTCTCGGTGCTTTGGTCAAGGTGCTTCCACCCGCCACAGCAGGCCCACTCATCAAGAACAGAGTCCTGGCAGCCAATATCTCTCATTCTTCAATTTTGGGTCTCAATGCTCTGCTTGTCGAGGCGCCTTCCGCGTTGACTGAGCATTTCGCCACTGAGACGCAGGCAGTCATCTGCCAAGGTGTCACCAACAAGGATGTAAGTTTACCCAGCATGTAAAACCACGGACCGCGCTAATTCCCGATAGCCCTTTATTTCCGACAACAGCGTTCTGGCTGCAGGTAAATATCTGCTGATTGAGGACGAGCATCGCAACTTCGAAGACAACAAAGCCATTTTCGAAGCGTTGGCGCCTTGCATTCAGCCCGGTGCGCCCTCCGATACCCGGAGATTGGCTTTGGTGGTCATGCGGACCGTCAGCCGACTTCATCCGGAGTTGACTCGGCCGCACCTGGCTCTCCTTGCGCCCCCGATCTTCGGCAGTGTGCGCGACATGGTCATTCCTGTGAAGTTGGCGGCGGAGGCTGCCTTCCTCGCAATCTTCTCTGTGGTCGAGTCTGAAAGTGCCGTCTTCGACAAGTACATGGCTGGACCTGGGGCTGAGCTTCCGCCGGGCCCCAAGCGGAGCATGTCTGACTACTTCAAGCGTATTGCCTTGCGTCTCGCCAGCCAGGCCCGGGAGCGAAAGGAGGCGGAGGGTGGACAGGGTGGCCTAGGCCTGTCCAATGATGAGGTTGATGACGAGAAGGAATTGTGGAGCATTGGCAAGGTTGACCTTGGAGAGGGGACGTTTGGAGATGATTGATGGTAGGATGTTGAGATATAGACTTGATCTAGCCGTGGCATGAATTAGATTTATACCCTTGTCTCGGGGGGTGATGTTAATTCTGAGGGGAAGCATTGGAGGAAAGAAGGAAAAAGGTTCTAGGAATGTTATGTTTATAGGTATGTTGGATGTTATATGTTCCATGTCATAAGTACTATGCCTAGACTACTAGGTGTCGACTCCGTTCGTACTTGGCTGTCTAGATTGGGACTAGCCCTATCTATACGGATAGATAAGAAACATCAGGAGCTTATCAGTCACGTGTTGAACGGTCGGCGGAGAAGAAAACAAGAGAACCATCAAGTGCAGAATTGGGCAAATGGAAACAGATGGTGGACCACCATAAGGAAAATGAAGACAGAGAGCCTCACTATGGAACTGACTGGTCCATCTCAAACGAACCGCGTTGCGTACCTATACCTGACTTGTTTGTAGATACTTGTACTTGGAGGTGAGGCTCTGGCGGCGGAACCCCAGATCGGGACAAGCGGCTGGGGCACAAGCCCTAGGGTGGATTTTCTCGCTTAGAAGCACAGTGGCTTAGCTAATCAGTGGGCGTATCTCAAACTCCTCAGCTGGGAATTCTACCCGTCGTCGAGTGCAACGAACATCATCCGCCAACGACCGTCGATACGCCGACATCAAGATGTGAGTCCTATCATCGATTTGTGCTCGTTTCGTTTGAGAGGAGAATTACGGCCCTTCGATGGACTACTTTTCTGGCCTATTTGCCCAACCATGCACCACCACCTCCGCATATGCCCATCGAAGGGCCCTTGTCACTCCTCCACTCGTCGACGAAGCAAAAGAATTTCTCGGACCGCGATGGACTTGATGCTGACCGTCTGGTTTTTTTCCCACACAACAGGGTCAACCTTCGCACCCAGAAGCGCCTCGCGGCCTCCGTGGTCGGCTGCGGCAAGCGCAAGATTTGGCTCGACCCCAATGAGATGAATGAGATCTCCAACGCCAACTCCCGTCAGACCATCCGCAAGCTTGTCAGCGATGGCCTCATCATCCGCAAGCCCGTCACCATGCACTCCCGCGCCCGTGCCCGTGAGCTCGCCGCCGCCCGCAGAATCGGCAGACACCGTGGTCTGGGTAAGCGCAAGGGTACCAAGGAGGCTCGTATGCCCAGGTATGCACTCTCGACTCTCTCTTTCTCGCGTCCGTGCAGCGGAAGGATCGGTCTCAGGCTGTTGGATATGACTGGACCGCCATGCTGGAAATATGGGTTGGGGACAGAAGGAGCTGACATGCGGTTTTTTCCCCTCATTACAGCCAGATCCTCTGGATGCGCCGCATGCGTGTTCTCCGTCGCCTGCTCGTCCGTTACCGTGCCTCCGGCAAGATCGACAAGCACTTGTACCACGAGCTCTACCACCTGAGCAAGGGTAACACCTTCAAGCACAAGCGTGCCCTCATCGAGCACGTAAGTTGACTCCTTTGTCTGCTTTGGCTGCACGAACCGCCTTTTTTCACGAACCAACCACCTGTCTTTGAACTACACCCGATCCTCTGGCGGTTTGGCAGACCTTCAATGGAGACTCGAAACTAACGCGGTCTCTTTCACCCACTACAGATCCAGAAGGCCAAGGCTGAGAGACACCGTGAGCGTGTTCTCAAGGAGGAGATGGACGCTAAGCGTGCCAAGAACAAGGCTCTCCGTGAGCGCCGCTTGGAGCGCAAGGAGGCCAAGCAGAACGCTCTCGTCGCTGAGGCCCAGGAGTAAATTTCTTCTGTTTGACGAACTTTGGCGGTGCGGAGGTTGAAAAGCGGGGGATAATGGGTTAATCGATCAGCCAGTGGAATATAAATCAGGTCGACCAAAACTACACACTTCCCCGTTTTTTCGTTGCAGGTCTGGCTCGTTGGCTCTGAGAAGAACAAGAAAAGTTGCATCCGGGACAAATGGCTTCTGTCTGAATCGTATCAAGGAGGCAACCCGGCACACCTGGGTTCGTCGGGGACACGGGGAAATGAACATATATCACCTCTGGCTTTACCTCTTTGCCCGTTTACACGACGGGGGAGAAAAGCCTAGAGCATGTGAATATGGAACAAGACAAGAAAAAAAAAAGAGAAATGACCAACTTTTTCATTAAAGTCAAAAACAATGGCATGGCGCTTTGTGTGTGTGTGTTACGAAATTCCCGAACATTGTTCTTTCTATCATCTACACTCACACATGGTCTCTTTCCATTCTCCATCTCTTTTTCTACCCCGGAAACCCCAGTCAGAGCCATTCTACCCCGGATGTCTTTTCTTCTGCTCGTGATCTCCTGCCATCGCATTTGGGCCCTGCTCTCCACCTATCTTTCTTTACTCCTCCCTCCTTCCCTCCTAAGGCCTGGTCTAGCCCTTTTTCTCCGGCCGGTAACTCTTCCACTTCCTCCCCCGCATCGTCCTTGTTTAATGTCGTAACGTTTCCTGAATATCACGCTTGAGGGTTCCAGTCTAGCCGCGGGGTCTTTTCTCTCTCGTAGCATAAATCCTCCACCGTCTCGATGCTGTAAAAAGAAAAGAAATAGCCCCACCTAAAGGAGATCCTTGACCGAAACGAACCCACCCACTCGCCCCTGAGAAATGGGAATTGGGATCGTCACTCAATCCCCGTTTGTTTTGCCATGGGGTGGTGGCAGCCTAACGCAAGCAACACGGGGATTTTTTTGCTCGACGACTAGAGAGAGCCTGCCCACACACTCCCCCGGATCCAGAGGATTCTTTTTTGTTGATTAAACAAACTGACTGAACTGGCCTTCGCGTGAATCCTGAGTATCTGTGGGACAGGAAGAAGGAGCACTCTGCCATATTCCGCAAAAACTTCCTTGTGCTCACTTCACTCTTATGTACTCGTACCTGCACAGAACCATTACTCCAGGACTGACTGACTCCACCGCGGGTGGACGGACTATCAATGAAGTCATTGCCTCCAGGGCGGGAAGGTATGACATGACTCTGGCTTCATCGCATCTGGCTCAATCTTACGTTGGGGATTTTCCTGTAGCCACCAGGGAGCTAAACTCGAGTTCCGGTTGGAGGTTCGATTTATGCATTTCACATGGTTTCGTGAGGAAGGGGGCTATCTGTAGCTTAAGTAATGCTTACTTCTCCCCGGATGGCGGGTTGAAAACATATATATATGAAAAAAGGTGGTGGAGCTGGTGTTGCGGGTACCACGCCAATAAGAGAAAAAAAAGTGTTAACTAGTCGGGAGGAAAGACATTTCTTGTTTTTCTATCTGTTCTCTCTAACTTTTCCTTACTAGAGTACTCTGTGCATTTCAGAAGATCAAAAATACGTGCACAAGATCTTCATCAATCCTACTGCGTATTTGCACTGAGACTGGCAACCGGCTAATTATCATACCACCCGAACCACGGCGCAGAACACCTTCCGTGCCTCATGATATTATTGAGATCAAGAAAAGAAAAAACATACACATACATGTAGTCGAAGGTTATACAGCAATATAGAAACGTAGCACTACGACTCCCCCGTCTTCCCAGAGACATTAGCGCAGCATATCATCCACACAGCGGGTCGATTCGGTCATATCATTATACACATCCAGTCATACATAAACCCCGAAGAGAATCGAAAACAGATCCTACTACAACTACACCTGCGCGAGCGGGATGGTCGTCGAACTGCGGCGATGCATGACCGCCGCCTTGACCGGATATTCCAGATCGAATGGATCGCTGCGTGTGCTGACCCGCGCGCCCGGATCATAATACCCCTGGCCACCCCCGGCGTCCGAGAGCTCGTTGACGGTGAACGGGTAGCTGAGTCGGTTGAGGAGACTGCTTCCAGCACTGCTGCGGCCATTGGGGAGGATCAGCGTGCTGCCCAGGCTGACGTCGCCGCCGCTGTAGATGGAGCCGCCCCAGGCAATGGACAAGGGGCGTTGCTGCTGGGACATCTGCGATTGGCGCAGGTGGGTGGATGTGGAGGCGGCGGAGGATGCGATGCCCGGGCTGGGATAGGGGTCGGCGAAAGGGTTGCGCATCACCCGGTCGCTTTGAACGGTTGTTCCACGGGAGGACGTGGACTTGTAGGTGAGTTCGAGGGGCTCGACGAATGGATTGGCGTTTGCAGCGCGGGGGATGGCGGAAGAGTGGGGTCCGTGGTAGGTGTACTCGGGTTTGGAGACGGGGACTCTGGCCACGTGGATAGGGAGTGAGCGGACTGAGGAGGAGTCGGAAAGGAAGGACCGATGCGATTGGTACCCTGGACGAGAAGCACCATCTGGCAGTGCCACAGTAGGTATCTTTTCCGCCGTAAAGCCTTCTTCACTGGTGCTGGGGCTCGGAGAGCCTCGACCAGTGCGTCGCTTCGAGCTCATGAAGTAATATCCTAAGACTAGAGCGAGCGCAACGAAGGCGAGTCCACCTAGCACACTGCCCAAGATAGTACGCAAGGGGGTGTTGGAGCTTGAGCCGTGGGTGAAGTCTACGGGGTCTGATGAAGTGGTGTGGTTGTTAGAAGTCACATCCGTCGTGGTAGGTATGGCCGTCGATGCAGTACTGATCGCTAAAGACGTCTGGGGGGCTGATGTGATGAGGCTGGCTGCACCAAGCAAGTGCTCTGAGTGCTCCGTCGACGATGGTTGTACGACTTGGCTGGAGCTGAGACTCGGAGTTTGGGAGCTCGTCTGCTGCGAAGAGAGGAGGATATTTTCATGCTGAACACTAGGAAGGTATGAGGTGTTGAAAGCACTGAGACTGTCTGTTGTCGGGGTGGTTGCGATGGGACTGGGAGGCGTATCTGTAGAGATGGCGGCTGGAGCCTGCGACAGCCGCGTTGCTGCGGTTTGCGCAGGATGTTCAAGTGAAATTCGAGAATGAGTGCGGGTTGTGATCGGACCATTTGCGGGGACAGTCTCAATGTCGATCAACGACAAAGTATCCGTGTTCGGGACGGCGATGTGAGTACCTGCTGCCGGCCACGACAAGCTGGTTATAGCCGAAGGTGCCCCCGAGGGCACAGCAATCCTGGACTCTCGTGGGTATCTGGCGCACCTGGTACTCTGAAGAAGTAGACAAGCACTAGGCATGGACATGTCGCCAAGCCCGCAGGCCGGATAGCGCAATACAAAGTTTGCTGGAACCAAGGCGAAAGACTCAAGTGCCTGGTATAGTTGCAAGAGGGAGAGACTTTCTGGTCATGAAGCCACAGGCGCGTAAATGAGTGATAGCGCCGAGAGCACGATGGCAGCTGAAAAGATCGACTAGAAACGAACGGAGGGAGTGACAGAAAAGCAGGAATGACAGCAGCTCAGGGCATAGTCACTAAATCTTTCTCATTGTTCTTTTCCTCTACCGGGACAAATCAGGCAGGCCATGACAGGGACGTCGAAGGCGACGACGGCCCGGGTTGGACGGTATTGTTTCAGAATGCGAACGGTGAAGTAGAGGGCCAAAAAAAAAAAACGGTCAAATGCGATTGCACGTGAAGAGGCGTAGAAGTTGATGTATCCAGGATGTTAAGGAACACAGCCTCGAAAAGGGCGAGAAAAGCTGACACGAGAGGTTGACGCGAAGGAAAGAAAAAAGAAAACAGAACGGCTGGTCATCTTAGGATGATATCAACAGCAGGGAAGCTAATCTACCGAGTGCGTTGGGGCCAGGCGCTTGTATGTGTGCATGTACGGAGTACTGTACGTAGAATTGGAAGCTGATATGCGAAGCAGGGGATAAAAAGCTGGATGAAACAGCAGAGCCACCAAGTCGATCCAACCTGGAAGCAGAGACAGCAGAGACAGCTCTAACAAGACGATCATATGAATGCATAAGAGGGGTTCAGACCTTTGGCCCCCCTCGCGTGAGGAGCAGAAGAGCTCAGGGGGGGGAGGGGGGGCACTCAGCTCAGGGAACACTTCCAGATGATTGATTGAGTGGAGAGAGCAAGGTGATGAATGGCAGGACTCGGGCCAATCATGAGTACGACTGGCAATGAATGACCATGAAGGGTGAACTATGAAGTGAGATTGGCTTCCAAGCATGTTAGCATGTTGGTGGTATACAGTGGTATAGTGGTATAAAGGCATATTGGACAGAAAAATCAACAATCTGAAGGTTAAGCATGAGCGTTGGATTGGAGAGATTGAAGCTGAGCGGATACTCAAGTGGTCGGACGGAGGTCAGACCACCTGATCGTTCCATGGTCATTGGCTGAGATCCGCCTTCTGCCATTGGTTTCAGACACCATGCCTGACTAGTCCGGAAGTAGACTGGTCCCGGCATCAGGTGCATGCTGAGTCACATCGACTAACCATATTTGGACAAAGCCCCATTCTCCCGCCGCTGTGATGGTTGCCTGAGGTTGGATGCATCTGCCTTTCCCCTCATTTATTAGTTGTTAATTGTTCGATGATTTGACAAAAAGACCAATGGAATGGCATAATGTCATGTAATGTGGTGAGTTGACAGTTTGATGTTGTCTGGTTGTTGGCTATGTCTATGATTCATTGTCTGGCAAAGAGCAGGATCTATGCAAAGGCAATGACTGTCGCATGCGATTGATGTCATGGCCCGAGTGGTTCCTCGCCTGCGCCCAAGGAAAGCCTCCTGACATTCCCAGGAATCAGCCCAAAAACTCCGCCAAATTCACTCATTAATGAGACTAATGAAACCAATGGGAATGGAGACCATCGAAGGATGGTTGCCAAATGAGCTTGTCCAGGTTCCTTGGGCTTGTCCTGGCCTTAGTCTTGATTCTTGTCCGCCACTCCAGAATTTCCCCGCATTGTGTGTACCTAGTATACAGTCAAGTCGTCGGTAGGGCAGGCAGTATGTATGGCAACGTGACAGAACTGGAAGAAGTGATGAGATCAGGAGATCCCCTTGATGCGATCGATAATCGTCCAAAAGCACAGGGCCTGAGGGTTAGTTCTAGTAGTTATCAAGTCTCTTCAGAAGTGAGTGCATGACAATGAATAAATAAACCGGATGGATGATTGGAGTAAAACCCGCGGTTGATCCTTTCTGCCTCTTGCTGCCTCTCTACCTGCGGTTGAAAAAAGGTACAGTACTCAACTCACTCTACTCTCTGCTTCGTCTGGCTTCGTCTTGCTTCAGGTTCATTCTTAATCATCCCACACCCCTTCTTCACCCACCCACTTTTTTTGCCATCGCTGGTTGGCGCTAATCTCCACCCCAACTTTTATCCACTCTTCATTCTTCTTCCTCAACTAACACTTGGAGATTATTTATCTCCCCCGCCCCCCTCCTTCTTCCCCCCAATTTGTCTACATGTGTACTATTCACAGCTGCATGACCCCCATTGATTGATCAATTGATCGCTCCGCCTCTATCTAATTAGTGCTGTGCAATTCGGCTCGGATAGCTTTCTTCCTCTCCCTTCCGCACCTTATTCCCTTACATTTGACTCTCTCTCTCTCTCTCTCTTCCTTTCTGCTTGGGTGGCGTGCACATGCACACGAACCCCCCGGTACCTTACAGATTATCTCCTCCCACACTTGCACGTCGCTTTCCTGTGTGATCGATCGACTTTCCCGGCATCATGTTTGGGTGGTCTGGTTCGCTGGGTAAGGCTGCCTGTTTCCCACTATTCTTTGGACAATCTACCCTCTCATGCAAATCGTTGCTCTCGTACATCACCTACTGTTCTTGTCTCGGTGGCCCCCATGCAGGACCCTGCAATCACAGCACGGACATCGCGACATAAGCGGCGGCTCTACTGGCCTCGTGTTTAATGGAAGCCACCAGAGTCCTTCTGCTTCGGTCGCGCAATGGTCTTTGGGGTCAATTCTGCCTTGTGCCTACCTTATGCTTCCGAGGGCCCCATACCCCTCGGGAGCCTGTCGGTCGGCTCTCTGCCCAATTTGAGCTACGCCCGACATAAATCATCCGTTGACTCTTTCCATTGCTGACATGATGCGACGCAGGCCTTCCGGTGAGCGCAGCACCGGAGAAAGAGCGCTGCCCACCGTCTGCCCCCACACAGCTCGACTTCCCTGTTTACCACGTCCCCGATCTCGCAGAAAATGGGTCCAAAACCTCCTTGGCCAGGCTCAACGAAGTGCTAGCCTCCATCCGACGGCCGCAAGATATCAACCCCCAGAAGTTCGAGGCCTTGAATCTGAGGCTGGAATCAGATGTCCCTGCCGCTCGCATTGTCCGTCAATCGGGACCGAAAACGGCCCCTCCACTACCATGGGAAAATATGTCGGCCAGATCCTCCCCGGTAGATGAAGATGGCACTCCTATTTTGATGGACAATGAGAACCCATACCCCTCTCGAGACCGTTTCGAACTGCTACAGAGTGAATTACTGCTCGATAACGATGACGCATTTAGAGAGGTGGCTAGACTGCCTCCTCAGGAAGGACGGGATCGAGTTAGGGTCACACACACACGAAAGTTTTGGACGGGATTGGAGCGCATGGCTCAGTACTGGGATACCAGCTTGGATGATTACTTCGAGCGCCCGGCCTCTCCGCCACCTAATGAGGGCGATGAACACATGCAGATGGACGAGGAACCACAAGCATTGAAATATCCTGACGTTCCAGAGATTCGCATGGATGTGGACGGTGGGACCCCGGAAGAAGAACTGGCAGACACCCCGTCAGGTTCTCGGGACCCGGAACCAGAGATTGTGACTCGATACAAAGGTCGTCGTATCGGCTCAGGGAGTGAAATGCCGGAAGATGCGCGCGACGAAACCATTCGAGCATTGACGGAGATGGCTGCCTGGCCCTTTGGCTGTCAGGTCGCCCTGCCAATTGCTCCCCCCAAGTTAGTCGCCAAAACGGTGCTCTTCCCAGTCCGACAGACCTTTGTGGCCGCTCGATCTCCCAAAGATCGACAGCTGGCCCGTAGTGGTGTCATGGAAGGGCCCGTATTCACGGCCCAGTGTCGACCTGAAACTTCATTTCGAGGACCCGAAGACACCCCCGGTGAAAGCGTCGGCGATGTGTGTGATCTGCTCCGCGAAGTGGGTGCCATGCTCCTGACCGCACAGGAACGCGCCCGACAGGGAGCCACTGAAGTCAGACCAGGGGAAGGTCAGTGGTGGACGACAGTGCCGCGGTGGGGTGGTGCGCCAAATCATGCTGATGGCGATGGTCATGGGCAAGGTGAAGATGATGCGTCTTCAGTGGAGCTGGGAAATGCTCGCAAGCGTCATCAAATTGAGCATCCGTTCCTCGCATTGCGTCGGCCAAGCTTGGTCCGTAAACTGAGCAACAATTCCAAGTGGAAGATCGTGGAGCCTGGTCCCAGTCTCTGGGATAGGCGGATGAGGTACATCCAGATTGGGAAGCCCATTGAGAGTCCCTTCGATGATGTACGTACCCCCAACCTTGCTATGCGGACGGAGACAGGCATACTGACAGACGGCAGATCTATATGCTATCATCTATCAACCACCATCTTGCAATTCTGCACCTGCGTGTACATCGGCGATATCTCGAAATGATTACCCACGGGCGCAGCGACTTCCCACCAGTTTCCGACGGTGACCAGCCATGGCAGGTTCTCCAGCTACGACGGACCAAGTGGTACGATTTGTTCGACGCCGAAGATCGACTTGAAGTGTTCAAGGGAATCTGGGGCACCTTTCATTATCTTTTACGGCAACAACCGTCCCCTTTCCAACATCTCAACTGATAAATGTTTTCCGTGTGTGCATTTCTATGATATCCAGATCTAGCCTTCAGATCTAGCCTTCTCTGCTCTTCATTTCTCGTCCATACCCGGTCAAATTTGACGATGGACATTGCGACAGCGTTTATCTGGACAGATGTCTTATCATGACCCCCTTGCATCCTATCATCATATATAGATGGCAAGACTATAGACACCGATAGAAAGCATACAAATTGTCCCTATGATATTTTTTGATCCGACCCCTCCTTCCTGTCGCGTGCTTGTTCTGAGTAGTCCAGACCGACTACTGAGAACTATGTGCCCGCCTACTCCCGATTTCGACCCTCCTACTGCCCTACTGAATACCTATCTAGCTGGCTACTTACCTACCGAATGCAGGCAGCACAGCATAAAAGCATGCCCATCAAACAACCCGCTCCGCATGAGAAAGTCTCGGGTTACAGGGTTACACCACTCTCCATCCCACTGCCCCGTACCACCACCACCACAATCTTCAGGTTACTGTGATGTTGAGGTGGGGATATTCCAAGGAACATCCCCCCTCCCCCCCCATGCATTACCCACGTTATCCATGTTTCCGGTCGTGTCTCATTCATGCTTGAAGCCCAGAACGATAGCATTAAGCTGCGGTGAAGAGAGAAAAAGGTATTGTAGATCGCGCCGATGACAGGCCGCCCCCCCCGACCCACACACCCGCCTTTCCTTCCTTCCTTCCTCTCTCTCCGTCTCCTGTGATTATCCGGAAGGTCTGAATCATGTCCTTGCTTGCATGGATCCCGAAAAAAAAATAGAGCCGTAAGGAACAAGCAATCCGGATGTGAGTGCGTGACTGAGTGAGTTCATTCGTCCACTTCATGGGGCTTTTTTACGAGTAGTAGTAGTAGTACTGCCTATCCTTCTATCCGGGAGTCTGGGGGTCATCCTTGCTTTTCAACCTAAATCTGTGTGTTTTATTTGGGGTCCCAATAGCTACCTGGGAAGGGCAGCTGAGCTTGGGGTATAGGGGATTAGAGAAGGGTTTTTGGGGGGATTGAGGTGGTGTTTCTTGCTTGGATGGAGGTGATTTGATTCATTCTGCCGAATAATGTGGGTGGGATACTTTGTTATTGTTCTTCCTATTGTCGATGCAGATCAGTTGGCGCAGGTGCATACAGATACCTAGGAAGTAGTCTGGTTTCTTCCTCGGGGTTGCAAGCTATTCAAGCCTAATGGCAATGAGGAAGGTCGTACAGTATATAGTAAGTACAAGCTCCCTTAGCTAGTAGGCTACTACTACTTGTAAGTTACTATCCGTTCACCACTTGACTGCTTCATGAACAGCGAACCCCCCAGGAGATGCACCTCGGTGCCCTACATGCCGTATCAACACCGCCGTTGTCGGCCCTCGACACAACAGCGAGGACTAATGAACCACATATCAAGAGCAGCAATGATTGATGGGAGATGAAAAGGGAAAGCAATTTGCAGAATAGCTGCATATATGTAACCCCACCACCCAGCATAGCATTCCACCTTACCACTCAATAGACCCTACACTAGTAGCAAGTGATTCTACATGCATCTACACACCCGTCCCCGCTTATGCAAAGTATAGGGGCAAAAGAACACAACACAATCATCGGATCAGAAGATCTGCCTCCAGCAACGAAGTAATCCGGACAGTTGCTTTCTGTAGCGAGTGCTTGGGGCGTGGGAGTGGATGTTTGCTTTCCGCTGGGTGGCATGCAATTGGATTGGATGAGGGGGATCAGGGTGAATTGGCGAGGTTTGTGGTGGGGAGAAATGAGATGTGGATGCATGTCCGCCTCAACTATCGGGTGCGCTGAAGCGGTTATTGTCACTGGGGCGATGGAGTGATTATAGAAGAGACGAGTCAAATGAGCGAAAACTCCAGTAGGTAACATTGGCTGTCAGGTCGGATGGATGGCTGTCGCAGATCTATGAAATTGACATTGACGCAGGTCATAACTGCTCACTCGGTTTTAAATTGAGTTGGCGAGCGGAGTAAGGAGGAATTAGTCATGTTCACTTAGCGAAGGATGCAAAGGTTCCCACTGGATAGAACAGTGAGCCCCACTGTCTGATACTCCGCAGAAGTGGGTTGGGGAAAATCACATACAGGTCTCCATATACGTGCGCGATCTTGATGGGAATGGCCTTGGAAATGTGGCTCCTGATCGATAGGGCCCCTGGTAGCTGTTCACGATCTTATCATCGGATTCTAAAAGATCGCCAGCTAGTCAAGAGTTGCGATTTGCTAATCGATCCTTGGGTTGATGACCTATCGAGACGTATGCGTCGAAGCGAGCGCAAGGCAACGGATGGAGCAATGGAAGTGTGGGAAACTTTCCAGCAGAGCGTCGCGATCTGATGAACCAGTCGCGTGGTTCATATATACTTCGCATAGGCACTTCGGTTTTGGACTCATCAATCATCATTCCCATCTTGGGCTCCCGCAATCGACGACGGATTCTTTCTCCGCCTTAGTTGACTTGTGCAAAGGCCAGCTCTCTTTCTTGTTGGGTTGGCAGCGCATATTTGTCGATCGATCAATGTAAGTTGGTTTGATGACACATTCCTGGAGGAGTCTCCGTTTTTAGTAGAGAGAACCGCCGTTGTTCCTTGCTTGCTAGCTTCTGTAGTCTTCTGTAGTCTGCGCCAGCACTAACTTAGCACTCCCTAAAAGGGGCACAGTATGAAGCACGGGATACATGGAAGTATATCCAGCAGCAAAAAGCATACGGTGTTGTGGCTGGAGCTATGAGTAGTCTAGAGCCTGAAGAAGCATCATCTCAAACACATGGCTGCGGATCAGGGGAAGCGGGATATCGTATTCAACAGGCACGTACTTTTTGGGTGGTTGCGTCCAAAGCTATGACATGACATTGCCAAGAGATGGTCTTAGTCCGTTTGTTTTTTCTTGAACGGATACTTCGTATAATAGTGTATGTGACTGGTTAGTACTGTACATGGGCACGACAAGTACTACAGAGGAAGTTGAACTACTAACTGAAGAGTCTCAATGTTGATGTTGAGTGACGGGAAGAAAGACCGGATGAGTCAGCCGAGGGAGGGCGGGGCGGCTTCAACTTAAACCATACAATACCTTATTTTGGGGTTAACTCACTCACCTACCTTTCTGCTGACTTGATGGCTTGCAATGAACGTATACTGCAATAGGTGTATCTGTTTCACCTGGAGATATAGGTACATACCTACCTACTGCACGATTTCTTCCGCCATCGTCTGTCTGTCTGTCTGTCGGCGATGTTCGGGGGGATCTGAGAAAGAGAGGATCCAGACCGATAGGAAATGTGATGAATCCAGTGGCGTGCAAGACTACGGAGGACTCCAAGGAAATACCGCACGCCCACCCTGGACCTCGGGCTTGCTTGCTCTTTGGTAGGTAGGCTCGGTTTCTTCCTTCTCGTGTGCGCCCTGTGCGCCCTGTGCGCCCTGTGCGTCCTGTGCGTCCTGTGCGTCCTGTGCATCCTCCTTCAAGTTTCACTTGACATGACGACGATGATGAATGGCATCAGACGAGTGTCTGGGTCATTTCTTCTCATTCCATCTCCCCTGCACCCTGTTGCTGTTCTGTACTCACCTAACTACTTAGTAGGAAACAGGAAACCTACAGGAAACCCATGGAAAACAGCTTCCCGATCCCGCCAGCGCGGCCCGTCCGGCAGTAAGATGTCGATGGGGGAGCCGAACCCAGACAAAACAGATGATAGCCGCCAAAGGAAAAAGTCTGTGCTCGAGTCAAAAGACTGTCGGATACTCATCCACCCACAGAATCTTACACATCGCAAGATTCCTGAGCCTCTCCACCACTAGTCGAAGGGTTCCAAATCACCTGTGCTCCCAAATGGACTAGTGTCACCTGTCGAATCGAAGGTCATTCTGAATGTAGGTCTTTATGTATCACCCTCTGCTAGCTAACTTAGACTATGGATCTAATCCACCCCGCTCCCCCACCTTCTTTACTCACGCTCGCTCGCTCGCTCACTCGCCCTTCGCGAGACGAGTGTTTCAGCTTCCATTGAGAATCCAATCGGGAGAGGAATCTCGTCTCCATCCGATAGGCTTTACGCTTGTCCAACGCTGGACTCACGCGTGTGGTAGCATTTCATGGTCTCTTCGTTCCCGCTGCACCAAAACGCGTAGAATAGGGACGCCTTCAAATTGCATGAAATGGGTGCACTGCACATGCAAGCAGCAAGATTGAAAGATTGGTTCCTGGATTGACCTCTGCGCCAAATGCGCGCCGCCCAAACCCGAGGAATCGAGTGATCGGACCAGCAGCTCCTGTGAACCCCCTCCCCGATCGCAGCTCGATTCAAAAACCGATACCTTGGGGCTGGGAGCAATGGTGCGGGTGTCTGGCATGAGAGGAGTCCAGTGCAGGAACTCCTCTCCGCCCCTCTCCCTTAATCGTACAGGTCATCATGCACACAGTCTGCAAGAGAATGGCTTGCCACTCGACTGCTTCCCCCCCACAGTACAAACCATGTTACTCATCAGTGCCACGTTGTCGTAAACGCACTACATGGCCATGTCCGTGATGTGTGAAGGCGATTGCCCTCGACGGACGGTAGTCTGATACTTTTAAAAAGCGTGCTCCTTTTGGCAACATAACAGCCAAACGCGATAAGAAACCATGCTGGAGACGTTCCAGGTAGCATACTGATTCAGTGAAGATGAGATTGATACGATAAGCCGTCCAAACAGAATGAACGCGCAGCTCTTCCCGGAACGGCATTACATACTCATAGCAATAACAAGGCTTTAGCTCAACCTTGAGTGAGTCGGATCAACCGCAGATCTAATTGTGATATAGCGTCATCCGGACGTTGCAATCCACCTCACGTACCGTTCCGGGTCAGACCGTTGATTGTTTACTAGATGCAGCAATTTTGACCGGTCTCGGATTTCCCAAGTCACTGCAAGGAGGGTCACTGTTGTCTCGACGCCCACTCCACGAATGGCCAAGGAAAGCTCTCTCAAAGTCTTTGACGGAGACATAGGCTGTAGACAGGAGCCTTCACTCAACAAACGGCGACATGGATCAAATTACTTGGGGTATCGTGGTAGATAGCCACACACAGCCTAAAAGCTTTGCAACAACTCAGTTGCCGTACAAAGATGAATCCTCTCCTATTCCAGGATCTCCCCAGCCTCACTTTGCAGCGATCCTACCGCCCACCAGTAGAATTATGATCCGTCCCCGAACCAACCCCCCGGAGTCACCAGAAGCGGGCTGTCCCGCTGTCATTTGCCCAGAGGAGACCGCACGGCACTTTCTTTTACAAAAGAGGAGGGAATTATCACATTGGAAGGGAGGAATTCCCAGAGGGGTCATCGGACACAGATTTCCTCGGTATTTAGGCAGGCCACTGACCCTCTGACCTCCTCTATGGAGTGGTAAGTTGGACCTCGTGACCTCTATTGTGTCCCCTCGGCAGTGGTGAGGAGATGTACCATGCACCTCCTTAGAGGTTACGGTAAATTAGATAGGGCAGGTAAATAGCTTAGTAGGTAGGGGGTATGGGTATGGGTGGAAGAGCTTACCGTAGGTACTCGAGGCGAAAGGTACATTGATGGGCAAATCACAAGCTTGATGGGAGGTAAATACCATCCTACCGATCGACTCAGTACCCCAACTATTGATCAACATTTTGTTTCAGCCCATGATCAGGTCAAGGTTGTCTGACCCGGTTTCGGAATGGAGCCCGGGCCTCGTGATGAGTTGCTTTCCATTCCACCGTCTATTCGCTAGGCGCTTCGCCCCAATCTCCAGGAGCAAATACTCTTTCCTCCCAGTATGCGGCCGGAATTCGTTCACTTGCGCACAGGGCCCTTTCCTGACGGGAGGACATGAGCGTGCGAGCGCGGGCGAATCAGTCTCGGAGTTCGGTCACTTGTGAAAAACGAGGCTTTGGGTGGTGGCCCGTCTCGAAGGATTTTTCCTTGGGCTGCCGTCGATAGTCATAATTCGCATGATTGTTCAAATGATCAAGCCACAGAACAAGAGGTATATGGATGGATGGATGGTGCAGGGGTTGGGCAAAGCGGCGGTGCCCGTTTTCCAGTCACTGAGGTGGAAGATGGGTTATCCTTATCAGATGGGCACCGGCCAATCGTCGAGGATTCGATGCTGTCTGCGCTCAGACAGCGAAATGGGTTGGACTAGGTCTTGAAGGGCACAAACAGCAACTCTTCAATACTTCACTACCAGGGTGACTATTGGAGACTTTCAACCCTCCCATCCGTTAGATTATGAGTCAATAGGGTAGAAACGCATTTTTCACCCTCATCCGGATCGATGCCGAATTCCTCATGTCGGACAGCAGCATTGGAAGGTCAATCAATCAGGATCCCAGGTATAGTTCGGAGTACGGAGTCCCCCTCCCTCCCTTTCCTACTCAATCGAGGTCCCTTGTAATTCAAACTATCTCCTCACCATCTGGGCCTTTTCTTTCATCGCTGACAAGAGTTGCACCTCCAGCCGAATGAGTTCTAGTCAACGCGTGTAACGTGCAATGAAGACCAGCGGAATCCCAACTACTCATCACTTACAGTGACAATCGAATACTGTACCGAACAGGGCTATCCCTTGCATTTTCTTTTTCTCTTTGGGCGCTTTGGTCATACACATACTACTTGAGTCTACGAATTGAGGACCTACCGACCTTGCGCTGTCGCACGGAGTACAAGTATGCACATCATCCGCCACTAATCTTGCCGAGTGCGCGCCCAACCTTGCAGGATCTTCGTTCAATCAGAGCCAGTTGAGTCGACAGATCGAGAGAGCGAGAGCCTAGTATCAATTCCCCCTCTTTTCTTGGGAGTAATCGAGAGGGGGAAATAGTTACTGGTTGCTCTCTTTCTCTCTCTGTCTACCCCGATTATTTTTTTTTTCTCCTTTTCGGGAAATTCTCGTTCAATTCTTCGAGACCTTTTTTTTTTTCCATCCTTGACAGACCGAGAGGGATCGAACAAACAATGCCGGCAGCCGATGGGCGGGTTCCAGGAGACGGGATCGTGGGAGGATACTAAATCTTCGCGGATCGCCTTATGCGAGAAGAGAAGAAAATGGAATAAGACATGACAAGCGGATGGGGTGGATCTTGATTGGCGGTAATGAGTAATCTCTGGATGGGAATTCTGAACGAATGGATCTCATATGCGAACCTCGAGATTCATAATACCTGCCTCTTATTAACTAGTACCGACCTCATTGTGTTGGTCGGTCAGTCCCAGCTGGGTTGGAACTGAAACAGTAGTATAGTATTGTGGTCCAGCGACCGTGGCAAAATAAAACATTGATCCCCTTGACGATCACGGCCGTCAAAACTGCCCCAGTCTCTCTCCACCCGATGACTTACGGGAAGCCGACATTGTTATCCCAGCCAGAAAATCTATAGTAAGGTACACTGCACTGCAGTATGTGAGTATCTGGCTACCTGGCTACCTGGCTATCTACCAGGCTACGAGATCGGACAGTGTGTGATTGAGTCTCCGTACTCCGTAGCAGCCCATGGCGAATGCAGCAGCAAGAGAATATGCTCGGTTCCCTACCGTTTCCCCAAACTGACCAGGTACTGTACTACTGTGATCATTCTTCGAGCGGCCTTGATGATAAGGAAACTCGGCAAGCAGATCAGAATAATGATCCGTTACGTGCATTTCTCAATTAACGTTAACGTTTTGGCTCCTCTCCCGGGCGCGAGGTCTTACAAGCTGAGGCTCAACCTGAAGGGCATTCCCGCCCGCATACTACCGAATGTGTATCGCATTACGGAGTACAGCACACCAAGCGAAGCCCCCCCCCCTTCCAGTGGCGAAATGGGGGGTTTGCCAGAAACAGGAGCCTTGGGGGTCGGGTTCTCTCGAAGCTCAAGGTCCGAATTCTCTCCTCACTCAATTTCATATGGAGAACACTCGGCAAATGAAGAATACCAGTGCTACAAACGGTGTTTGGTGGAACAAAGCTCGACCGGTGACGTGTGTTTGGCGATCGGTGTTGATCAACAATCCTTGTAATTCACCCGCACTGGCAGATTTTCTGCCCGTAGATTACCGCGCCCCGAAGGTCTCTCCCACGGTTGATTATTCCACGGTTCTTTCCATAGGGGGGGAAGGGGGGCACGCTGACTGAAAGTTTAGAATAGATGCCAACGGAAGTTGAACCAGGGAACGCTATCGCCACTATGTTTTCGTTTTTCTGGTTGTGGGGTGGGAAATAGATCCAGTAACTTACCGGTAAGTTAGTCCTCTCCAGCCTGGAGCTCTTACTGAGTAACTGGGGAGCGCAAGCAGCAGCAGCAGCAGCAGTTAGCCAGGAAAAGTGGTAGTAGCTAAGCTAGCTAGCTGCCTAGTCCGAAACATATGCATGTCAAAGTCTCGGGCAGAACATGGATTGTGGCGTGACCCTCAGCTTCTTCAGCATGAGATTCACCATCACTTAACTTGATGGCTGTTTGCATCGACTATTGGAATCCGTTGTCCACCACCGCATGTCACTTCGGTTGGTTTCTCCGCCTTTTCGAGGCGCCTCGCCGCCCGGCAATCTCTCCTGAACTGCTGCACTACTTATGTAACAACACTCACCGTCTTCTGCTTTTTTTTTTTTTTTTTTTTTCCCCCCGGGGGCAACCTTATCACCCCTCCTCCTCCTTCCCCCCGGTTCAAACTCTCGTCGTTCGCTCCTCGTAGTATTGGATGTATTCATATTAGGCATCAACGGTCGTGGCCGGGTAGAGAGGAACCCTACGAACGAAGAGCTGACCGCTCAGTAGTAAGACAGACGCCTTGAAGGTAACGGATGTCGCCCCCTTGTCCATAGTCGAAGGATCTACCTTAGATCACAAGAGACAAGAGACAAGAGACAAGAGTAGGAGTCCGAAATATTACTTACTGTACTGTACCTAGTCGAATGGGCACTGAGAGGCCGGAAAAATGGTTCTAACAACAGCAAGCATGCTTTTGAAGCAAACCAAGCACATGTAAACTTCCGTGCTCCTCCCACTCACCTCCAGTCAGTGTCCTCACTACTCGTTCGTAGCTTGATGTTTATCCATTCTCGGCTGGTGGGCAAAGGGATTGGATCATTCTTTGATGGACAAATCAACTTCGCAGTCCCCTCAGATCATTTTATTCTTCAACAATGCCCCATCGAATATCAGTCCATCAGTCCATCAGTCCATCATTCCCCTCCACCCCTACCCATACCGCATCTTCTCCCTCCCCGATGACCATCTTTCTTCTTTATTGACCCCCCCGAATCTCCTACCACATGTGAATAGGATAGCCGGCCCCAGGCGCTTTTGGGCACCGATCATATCCTGATCCATCAACCGACCATCAGCCGAAGAAAAACCGTTCTCGATCGGACCCGAAAATTAAGGCAGTATCATCTATGGCGTTCTCGGTACCTACTGTCTGTATCTCTGTATCTGTCAATGCTATATGATTGATGTTGAATCAATCGGGGTCACACCCTAGCTCTTAATCTCTGGTACACCTCCATGATATTTCCCTTGCTTTCCCCTTCTACTTAGTATGTTTTTTTTTTTGCCATATAAGCCTTTTGGGTCAAGCCGAGCGAAAGTCCAGTCCAACCCATGTGGCACTTGGGAAGCACCGGAACTGATTGCGGGCCCTTCCCTTCCACCCTCGCGTTGCAGGCTCTCTCTCTGTCTTCCCGGGGACCTCCCCCTTCTTCCACTTGCAGCCAGTTCAGTTTCTGCTACTATGAGTCAATATCCCCAGACAACCAAGAATATGACGGGCGTTTGGTTGCCGATGTACATGTACTCCGTACTGTGTTCATGCTGAACTGCTGGGCTCCTAGATTCACATTTTTAGTCAATCCTGGCCTATCGGCAGCTCCAGTCTGCGGCTCCACTTGCTGCGCGCGCGCCGCTCTTCACACACAATGGTTTTATTTCCACACGCGCGCGGATTTTCCCTTCAGGGACTATATTTGCTTTCCTCTTGAGTTTTGGGATCATCTTATTTTGATTTTACCTTTTGCGGTGAATTACTAGATCCTGGATTTTAAGATAGGTGTTCGATGAGGAAACGGGGATCTCCAGAGAGACAAAATTTAAAAAGGCTTCTTCTTCTTTCGATTCGCAAAAGAAGACCCAAGCGGCGGACAGCCCAGGCCAGCCCGGCAGTCCCTCGAGAAAAGCGATCTGTCAATTTTGGTGGCTTGTGTCGGTCCATGCAAACCAGGATCCTGGTTCGGGCCTACCAGTCCCAATTTACCTGAAGGAGACTATGCAAGCAAGCAAGCAGCAAGCAAGCAAGCTGGCAGGCAGGCGGAGAAACAGGTAGGCAGGCAAGCAAGCGAGAAAGAAGATGTAGAAGAGAATAGTAGATGTAGTTTAGTTGGTCTAGCAGCAGCAGCAGCAGCAGCCGGAATAGTTGAAGAAGACAGGGACTCTGGGGAAGAAGGGGTCCAGAAGGGTTGCGCAGCAAAAGTGCAGTGGGAACTGACTGACTACTTTCGTTGTTTTTTGTAAGGATCGTGGGGGCAGATACACTACATAACTATAAGTTACCTACTGCTATTGTTCGTTCCCTCTTCTTGTAATTGTTGTTGTTGTTGCTGTTTCACACTCAATCCGTCCTTCTTCCCCTCCACCAGCACATGAGTCAATCGGTGAAGCAGACGGAGGTAATGGAAGTGATGAATTGGGGTAGAAGTAGTAACTTAGAGAGGTAGATTGCTTTGAAGGGAGAAAGGGAAAGAGAGAGTTTGAAGAAGCTCGGAGGGAAGAAAAGAGGGGCATCAACACCCTCAACTTATTCATCAACTTCTTCCTGCCTTTGCGCCGTTTATTTGATACTTCAACTCTTTGCTCATCATGCACATTCATTCCTGTTGATATTATATGATTTTATTCCGATTTTCTTATCTTTCTATCTTTTGTTCCTTCCTTCGGTTCTTTCTCACTTTGGAGAGCCCGACTTCTCCCCCCGTTTTGAGTGAGTGTGAAATTCCTCTCTGGGTTCCTTTCCCCTCCCCCTTCCACCATAAGAATAATAATAAGCAGCAGTAGAAGAATAATCCATCGACCTATCGTCATTCTTTCTTTCCAGCATTTTGATCCCGCACCTCACTAACCTTTTACCTTTTACCCCATCAGATCAACCCGCTGTTGCCGAGAGAGGACCGACTGACTTTATCTTGTTCTTCATTCAGTCACCAAGCGGGAAGTCACTGCTTCAACAACTTATGCCCAATTCCAGTTTAACAAGTTTTAATAATAATTCCGTCGAGGATCCATCCATCCTCCATTTTACACCCACTTTCGACTTTCCACCACCATTTTCTCTTCTTCTCCCTTTAGTTTTACCACCCCCCCGCCCCGGTAGCCCCGTTCTGCTTCTTTCTGGGACCCGTTGCCGAAATTCTCTCTGTCTTCTCCTTCCCTTCTTCTTAAGGAAAAAGAAGCCCACACAACCTGAATCCTCCGAACCTCGACCACCGTTCGATCTACCGCTACGACCTGACTACTTCCTAGGTAGTTACTCTCCAGGTAATCACTTTATCCACTCTCCTCCCCTTCCTTTCTTCTTCCTGCCCCCGGGCGACCCGACAGCTTGGCTTAGCTACCTGCCTAAACATCTCCCGCTGGATCGAAAAACTGCCAGACTTGACCTCCCGTCGTCGGCGTCGTATTTATTTTTCTTTTCTTTTTCCCTTTTTACCCTATTGGGATCATTATTCTTTTGGGGTTATTCTTTGGATCGTTTATTATTTCATGATCATTATTACTATTATTTTATTTAATTTGACCGTGAAAACACCCATTGCGTACGTTACACTTCCACTTAACTTCCTTCTTGCCTTGCTTCTTCTTTTCTTTTCTTTTTCTTTTCTCGCGTTTCTTTTTCATGTTGTTTGGTTGCTTGGATTTCTGTTTTCCCCTCTTGTGATGGAATTGCTCTTCTCTCCTCCTCCGCCTTTCCTTCTCCTCACACATTCTCACATGACATGCACGAAGCCTGACACCACCAAACATCTCTAGGAGTCTGGGTAATGCTCCCTCTTGCAGCTGGGACATTGTATCCGAGAATTTCTTTGTCTTCCCCCTCTCCAAGTGCTTATCGAGCGCTGCTGCTACTACGACTAGGCCGACTCTGACGACTTTCATTCTCCAAACCCCCTTCCCCTTCCCCTCCCGAAAGAGCTCGCTCGGTGTCTGTGATTCTCGCCCAGCCAGTCTATCGGCCTATTTTCGACGGCCACTAATAGTAGCCACACACTCTGACCGTACATTCATCCATCCATCCATCCATCCATCCATCCATCCACCTATCCATCCTTTCATCCACAACCGACTACGACAAACCAGTTTCGGTGTGTTCCACTCCTCTCACTCATTGATTTACATTAGTCTCTCTACCTGCGCGGATCGTGGGCGGTTGTCTCTTTCTCTCTCTCTCACCTCTCTTCCCCCCTCCCCCCGCCACCGCCCCTCCTCCTTCAAACCCCTCTCCCCTGCTATACATGCTACTGTTACTCGTCCTCTCACGCATTTGTACATGCGCCTTGAGCTCTACCGGTCTTGTGGTTGATGTTCTTGTTGCGATTGATGGCCGAATGATATTGCAAGCACGGCTTGCCCCCTAGTCCTATGTCTGTTTACTACGAAGTGCTGCCTGCCGTCCCTTTAATCCCTCAACTCTCATCACCTTGTTTGCGAACCCTGTACGGCCAAAATACTCCTTTTTTGCCTGATCACTCCGCCATCCATTCGATTTACGTTCTCTATCCAAACAAAGCTAACGATGGCCAGGCTACTTATTCGCGCAAGAAGCGACCGCTTCCTGCCGATCCTCTCTTGCCCCCCACCTCGCGATTCTATCGCTACCGTGACAGGTGCAGCGCATGGTCTTCCTGGGTCCAGTCTCGAGCAACAAAGAGGATCTCACAGCTCTGAAGCCAATTGCCGACCAATTTGACACGCAACGAAGAAGTTGCCACTGTATTTTCTGACACCCTGATCGCTGGACGAGGTGCAACTCTTGCCAGGGACGGTTCAAGTTTTCCAATTACCCCCAGCACTCCGGCCGCACATCAACAGCATCTGTGCTCATCTCGATCGTAACCATGTCCTCGTGACTGTATGGCCTACCATTGAGTTGATTATCGGTTGTTGATCTGCGACAATCAGACGCTCCGGGCGTAGCCCGCAAGTATCTGTTTCAACAGAAGCCAGCCCAAACGCAGCCAGGTTGTATCGACTGGTCATCGCCCATCGCACTTGCTCGCTTCAATGCATCGCATACCGCTCCCCGAAGGATCGCATGGTCTGCCCAGCACGTCCGGCGTGTTTGACCAGCCATGGCGTCCTCCATACGCGCCTTCTTTCGACCCCCACCCTGCGGACCAGCGGCGCACGTCGAGCGCACCTCAGCCTCCGCTGCACTCGCACCCGTACTCTGTCATGTCGAACCGGGAACTGCCGCAACTTCCTCCCGATGGGCCATATGCTCGGCAAACCAGTATACCTGGACCACCAACGCATACGCCCCCAGAGACGCATCCGCCTCCACCTCCGCCTCACCCCAATTTTCGCCCGCCGATGAACGGAGCGTCTCATGAGCCGACACCTCATTCCGCACCTCCAGAGTACCGGCCTCCAGTGGCACGAATGTCGTTCCCTCCTCCAGAGACGCCTGGGGCTGTCGTGGACCCTGCACCGCCCCCACAAACCCTGCCCCCAGCTCCGTATACTCCACCGGTGCCCCTCTCGCAGACCCCTACACCTTACGATCCCGCCTACTATCCAAATCAGGCATTCGGGATGCGCCATCGCAAGGCAGCTCGGGCTCAACAGGTAATTGAACGTCTTCTCTTGGAACCGTGGCCGCTATAGAATCGTGTCGACTGACTTCCGTAATGTCGCTATCCTTCAAGGCGTGTGATCAATGCCGAGCAAGAAAGGCCAAGTGCGATGAAGGTCGTCCGGCATGCAGTCATTGCAAAGAGAATAACTTGATATGTGTTTATAAAGAAGTGCCCCCTCACAAGTCTGTGATCCACCCCTCCCTTCTAATTCCAGGTCTTGGTGATCGCATGCTGACGGCCTCCCAAGACAAGAAAGAGCGACCCAACAAATGATGGACCGTGTGCAACAGCTGGAGGATGCAGTGATAGAACATATACGACGGGTGGTATCTATGCAAGTTGAGCAAGGGAACCAGCTCACTGCTATTTTGCAAGGAACCGGAATCTCAGACACGAAAATCATACAGGCTGCCGAGACACAGAAACAGTCACTCAGCCGGCTGTCGAAGCCAGACATCGCCGATCTCCTCCAAAAGACCGAGACCAAAGACGAGACAATCTCCAACTTTGTGAATCGGGAACTTGAGAAGGCTGCCGAGGGGGAGCCACAGATGCTGGTGACAGGCGAGGACGGTGAACTTTCTATTCCCGTTGAACATACCACGGCGGCCCACAAACTGCTCATGTGGCCGTCAATCAAAAGCCTTCTTTCCCCGCGCGAGTATGATGAGGACTATGTGATGAGGCTTGAGGAGGAACGCGGTCTGATCCTTGTTTACGGGCGGGGTGAAGGCCATAACGACAGCGAGGACCTGACCGCGTCACCCCCGCCGAATGGGAATTCTGCCCGGGATCATACCCACACCAATGAAACGGCCGCTGGCGGACCATGGGGTTTTTTACCTCATCAGAAAGGTACACCCGTCGGAACCAGGCCGGATGCTCTAGATGAGAATGGGTACTTTACTACGAATGCCGCTACCGTTCGCTGTTATTATCAGAGCTACATGGATCACATACACAAACTCCACCCGTTCCTCAACCAGAATGAACTGGAAGAACGAATGGAACGATTCATTGCACGGTACTGCCCTCCGGCAAATGCAGCTTCAGCGCCCATTCTCAACGGCAATGGCAATGGCCCGCGGGGCGCAAAGCGAAAGCGATCCTGCGAGACTCTGCATGGTGCGGGCTGCGATGTCCCATCTCCCAGCTCCATGACGCCCGATGGCCTAGGCGGCCGTCGCGTCGAGAAGTCTTTGAAAAATGCAATCAGTCTTCTAGTTCTTGCGCTTGGTAGCATCTGTGCAACCAAACCTCCCGTTCCTGGACCGGTTACTGATGTCCCCCTAAACTTTCGAGATGAGTGGATCCCAGGTCCTACCTCCCGAAACATGCTTTCACGGGCAGATTCTCTGTCAGCCGCGCCACCGCAGGGCAGCTTCTATTCTCAGGATGGTCATTCCTTTTCTTCGATGGATGGTCGCAGGGCATCATCGGATCGCACAGGACATGCGTTCCACCCCCGGAAACCGCGGAACATAGATGTCATTCCCGGCCTGGCATTTTATGCCTATGCGACTCAGATCTTGGGAAGCTTACAAGGTGCGAATGGTCTTGACCATGTTCAAGCAGCCTTACTTGCAGGGTTATATGCCGGACAACTGGCGCATCCTTTTCAGAGCCACGGGTGGATCTATCAAGCAGCAAGAGCTTGTCAGGTGCTTGTGCGGACGTGAGTTCAAAATTCGAGTTGTTACGTGCAGTATATGTCTAACTCATGAGGCAGAAAACGATATGAACAGTATGTTGATGGACCTCTCAAAGACTCCATTGACTTCGCATACTGGACCTGTTTGCAACTGGAAAGGTACAGTTCGCGCCGCTTCACACTGACTGGTCGTTCACCAAAACTAATTGCACCTTCGTCTAGTGATATTCTTGCGGAACTTGATCTTCCGGCTAGCGGCATATCCCGATCAGAAGGGCGAATTTCCTTGCCGAAAGGAAAATATACACTGACTCTACCGAACGAGATCTCTGCCCCGAGTACCATGATGATGTTCTTCTATTCCGCGCAGATTCACCTCAGAAAGGTTCTCAATCGAGTCCATACAGATCTGTACAAAGTGGAAAGTGAGTGAGCTGCCCGCATAGATTCTCAGCCATTCAGCTAACATTCCACCCAAGGAAAGGGAGAATCACGCTGGTCTTCCCATGTTCAAGAAATTCTGAGCATGAATTTGGAACTATGGAGGAGCAGTCTGCCTGAAGTGATGCGCTGGAAAGACACGGATCCACCATCGAAAGACATCAATGTGGCCCGTATGCGTGCCAAATACTACGGGGCACGGTACATCATTCACCGGCCGCTTCTATTCCATGCCCTGCATTTTGCCAACGACACTGGTAGCTCAGCATCCGTTGACTCTCCTACTGGATCGGCGATCTCGGGTTCGAAGTCACAACAAGTCTCCCCATCCCTGACCCACAGCCAACGCGCCATTGGCATGGCACGTCTAGCCAGTGATGCCGGTCCAGCCCCGCGGAGCGCTCCAACCCCGACTCCAGGAGGTGGGAATTGGGCATCCTACGCATATCGCGATCTCCAACCCAAAATGCGGAGAGCGTGCAAGGTGTGCATCGACTCCGCCATGCTGAGTACCGAGGCCTTCGACGGAATTGAGGGCCGTCCTGTTGTGACCAACATCTTCGGCACAGCTCACGCGTATGTTGCTGTTCTCAATCTCCTACGTGCTGACACACTGTACTGACCGGTCTTCTGTTTGCTAGTCAATTTGGTAACATGTTGGTGCTGTCGGCTACGTATATGTCGAGTCTATCAGAGCTCGTCGATCGGAGCGACTTGGAGCGACTCATGAAGCGAACCATCCGATTCCTTCTCCAAAGCCGCGATATTTCGCCTAGCTTGCGAGCTGATGCGAAGATTCTGAGCGAGATTTACGAGAAGATCTTCGGAGATACCATTGAAAGCTTCATCCAGGCGTGATTACGCACAAGGATCTTTACGATGCCATAGCCTGCGACTGAACAGATGCATGCGAATGATTGTGCGATAATCCTGCCATCATTGTTTTCCAACCACCCTTTATACTCCTTATACAACGCTCCTTGATGATTTGTACTCGATTGGCAAACCCGGTCCTCAGTGTTCTGAGACATGTTGGTCATACACGGGGTCATGTCCAGCGGCTTTAAACTACCCTTTGTGGATTGCTATCAAAGCCTGTCTTTCACTTACTCGATGAATGTTTCATCGGTTGTCTTGAATCGATGCAGGGCAGGACGGCCACCTGCAATGCCCGTTATCATGTGTTCGTCATATTTGTTTTTTTTCTTCATCTTTATTTTTCAGGAGTTGATCTGGGCCATGGGAGAAGGCCCTGCTTTTGGGAGTTGATGTGGCGTCGACTGTCTCGTGCTCACGAGGTGAACAGTGAAATGGGAGGTATATCTGCTTTGCATTTTGAGCGCATTAAGGGTGAAGATCACGTATATTACAATGCTTGCGCTTTATCTTTCATTATATTGCTCTTCTTTGGAGTTTGGTCTGGGTGGTCACACAATGCATTTTTACAAAGGGTGGTCTGTTGAATGGTGACTGCCTTATCTTCTGTGGTGCGGTGCACCTCATTTACCCATGTCTGGGTACTATACACCGAGCTTTCTCCAATCTTCTTCTTTTTTCGGGGGGGGGGCTTTCTTTATTTCTTGGCCTATTTCCTAAAGCTGTATATACACGAGCGGCATAGACTCTATGCCGCTGAGGCCGAATGTAGCTAGACACTTTGTTGTGGAGAAAGCGCAAAGGCTTGGAAGAAGAGGCTAGATGGCGTGCGCATGCAAGTAGACAGCTAACACTTGCATACAATCGGGGGGGGTGAACGGAAGAATTGTTATGGATCGATGTACTGCACTTATTGTATGCAGTAGGCAGCACTAGATACCAGTAGGTACCTAGGCACCTGGCCGTAAAGTACTTAGCAGCTGAGAGTGTTGCCAATCAAGCGCTCAGCCAGCCGTCATTTCCGCCGGTGCACGTGCATCGATCGGTCGGCCCAGCCTCACCGCGATTTCCCTTGACTTATCCATCTGCCATGCAACAACACAACACACAAACAGTTTGAATGACTGACAGCTCAGCTACTTTTCCTGTGTTCCATCGTCATCATCCTCATCCTCGTCCTCATCATTACCTTCTCCTTGCAATCCTTCATTCGGTTCAACTTCCCCATCCCATCACTGGCATCTTCATCTTGACTGTCAACCCGCATTCTGACACAGCTTCCCAGAAATACCCCACATTCCTTCTGCCTTCCTTCCCACGCACGCTGCCCTTCTGATTCATCATTATCAATCTTCATTCATCACTAACTAGTGAGCTTCATGCATCTACATTGTGTCCGGTTCATCTGGCCATCATCAATCATCCGTTCTGGGTCTTGCCCAGCCCGCTAAGGCCCATTAGTGGCCCAGTGTCAGCCAGCCCGGCCAGCCCCCGGGGTTTCCCTACGTTCAAGGTTGAAGGTTCCCTCCCGGTTTCCAACCAGCAAAGATCCACGGTTCACTTGTTTACTTTTCTTGGTTCCTCCTGCTCCCGAGTCCCACACAACAACCGCAACAATCATAACAACCACTACCACCGCTACTATATTCATCCACCCCAGCCTCCCCATCCTCCAAAGGTTCGCTCTGTCTCATTGCTCTCTTTCGCATTCAATCTCTCTCTTCCCTGTCTATCTCGCCGAGTTTGCTCCTCTCCTCTCCCTCTCTCCCCTCTCCCACCGCCTGCCTTCTTCTCTCCCTTCCCTTCCAACCTCCCCCGTTCTCCTCCATCCTTGTTATCCCACCCGTCGTCACTTTTCAGCTCTTTGACTTCCTTTCGCGCATAATTCCACTAATCCCCCCTCCAGCCCCTTTCGTGGGTCAGCGACAATACCAATTCCACTGCTCTGGCAATCAGCCTCCTACGGGTTGAAAACTTCCTCCATGGTTGCCTGAGCCGTTAGAGCGTTTACTGCTCGCTGCTTATCATGTTCAAAGCCCTGATGGGCGGAGGCCGCTTGTCCTCCGATGCCCGCAGCAGTTCGACTTCCAAAAGCAGTAGCCGCCGCCGCCGCACCGACTCGAGATCCTCCACAGTCAGCCGCAAATCATCACGGGGTGACGACCGTGATCGTGGCTTGGGTGATCTATCGACCTACCCGTCTTCCGGTAGCCGTAGCAGGCGGTATGCTGCCAGCGCGACCGGTGAATCGGTCGCTTCGAGCTATGCGACAGCAGACCAGGGCTTGCCCGCTGAATCCGATCGTATTGTGATTGAGCGGACCCCCAAACGCAGTGACTCCGACATTACTGACCGTCGCGCTCGGGATCGGGACAATGGCGAGAGTGAGGACAGATACTTCCGCAGGCGCGAGCGGGCAAGGTCGCCAAGTCGCGAGCGCGAGCGCATGCGACTGGAACGGGATGGACGCGGGAGTGAGGTGCTGTCGGGCGGTCGTGACAGTGATCGTGCAGAGCGTCGATGGGCACAGTCGGGCGATAGCTACGCAACAGCGCTCGCTGAAGATACACCCACGTCGCGGTCAAGGAACGATTACGATATCTCCGGTCTACCTCCCCACTCCGCACATTCCTATGACTCCATCTCAGGCACCTCGGGGTCGGGCCTCCCTCATGTGCCGGCATTCTACGACCCTCATGTGCAGCAGCAATTTCCCGACCAGTTTCCTACAACCTTCGCTGAACCGTACAGGCCGCCAAATCCTGCCGGAGAAGCTGCGGAATACTATGGCGATCAAGGCCAATCGGTCCAAGACCAACCCGGCGTGCGTCCGAAGCCCCAGATGGTGATTCCGAGTAGCCAAGCGCATTTGATGACGGCTTCTTCGGTACCGAACCCGCCACCCGAGCCCAGTAGCATGGGCCAGGTTGGCGCAGCGGCTTCGTACTACGATGACGATGCTGTTCCGGTTCCCTCGAATACTCAGCAGGGCCCGACACAAAGCACATCGGCCCCGGCGACTAAGCCACAAAAACCACCCAAGCCATTCGTCCAGATTGCCGAGGCCGAGCCGCCAGCTGTCGTACCCGTCGCATCAGTAACCACAGCTGAATTCTCAGAGCCAGTGTACACAGAGTCTCCTTCAACCTACGCTCCGTCAAAACCTCCGATCGCACACAACTCATCTCCTCCGCATGGAATGGGCGCAACTGTTGGCGCGGCCGCAGCAGGAGCAGCAGCCGGTTACATGATGGGACACCACCATCATTCCTCGAGTGTCCATTCTTCTCAGTACACCATGCAGAATTACGAAGAGCTTTCCCAAACCGAGCTGGCTCATGGCGGCCTTGCTACATACCCTCCTCACCAGGAGCCAGCACTTCATGCAGCAGGAGTCGGGTACGCAGCAAGTCCTCTCCATCCGCATCATGCGGCTGTCTACCATGGTGCTCCATTTCAATCTGGTGCGCTAGCCTTTCAACAACGTCAGCGTGGTCCCTTGGAAAAGATCATAGATTTTTGGCGCGATACTGAAGCAGTGGGAATGTTCGAGGACTATACGGAGTCCATTGGTATCTGCAAATACTGTTTTGAGCCGGGCACATCATCTCGAGACGCACCTCGCAAGCATAATCACGGTTCTGGCCGCAGCCCAGGCGATCGTTATAGCGCAGCCTCCCGTATCGATAAAGCAAGCCGCTATTCATCTTCCGACGATGAAGGGAGGCGTCGCAAAAGGTCATCTGGAAGCTCATGGCTGCCTGGTTTGCTCGGAGGATATGCAGTCAAGTCGATCTTCACCAACAAGGAATTTGACAAAAGTTATAGTATTCAATCAGGCCGAGTCGCGAGCTCACGGCATTCCTCTCACAGCAGTGAGGGTGCGTCAACCTCTGGCCGACAAAGTCAAACATCTCGTGGCGTGCATCGTCGGTCCAATCGCAGCAGATCCCGTGAACGGGTTGACCGACGCTCTTACTCGGACACGAAAACCAGCAACTACGAGACGAGCCACGTTCGCTCGCGTTCAAGGTCTAGATCTTCGTCTCAAACCCAGCGACACTCTGCCCTGAGAGATGCAGCGCTGGGTGCTGCTCTTGGTACGGCAACTCTGTCCCAGTCCGAGCCACGTCATGAGACTGGCAGCCGCATTACCTCGTCCAAGAACAAACAGCGGAAAGCATCCTCTTCTGACGAATCTTTCGTTGACATTTCGCGGCCAGGTCGAAAGTCTACGAGTAGTGGTCTCAGTTCCTTTTTCACAGCTTCTTCTGAAAATCGGCAGAAGCAGAGGACGAAGAAACGCAGGGGATTGTTTTCCTTCAATAACTCGTCGTCATCTTCCTTGGATGCGGATCTTGCCTTCGGAAGTGGCTTCGCCAGGAAATCCAAGAACAAGTCCAGCAGGCGGAATAGGAAGGAGGGAGATGTTGACACGGCATTGCTCGGCTTGGGCGCAGCAGCAACGGCCTTGGCCGCTTCCTCACATAGAAGGAGTCGACGACGAGGAGAGATTCTTGCCGGCAAGGACTATCGATCGGGTCGGTCAAATTATGCGTCCTCTGCAACCAACGACGATGGGTGGGAAGACTTAGATTCGGGCGACCAATCTTCCTCAAGCGTCAACTCCGCTCTCGCTTTTGGTGGCAGTGGGCTGTTCTCTAGCAGTGATTCTCAGCACTCGTCTGACTCCCAGACAAACAGGTGGACTTGGCGATGGGGAAGCAAGAAGAAGACGAAGAAGAACAGGAGAAGCCCCAGCCAATCTGAACACCACTTGCCTACCGGTGCTGCAGTAGCTACCGGGCTCGGAACGGCTGCCCTCGCATCGACTTATCACCGAGACGCGAAGTCATCTAGCCATGGTGCCAATAGCGTTGCAAGTCTTCAACAGGTGGCGCCAATGCCCATCAACGAATCCTCGCCTCACAGCAATTTCGACCTATCGTCAATGCCTCTCAACCCGCCACCCTTAGTTCGAC